GCTCGGGGAGTCGTCATCAAGCTTGCGGCGTTTTGATGGCGGGGCATCGCTAGGTTGTTGGGACGCCATTACGGTCACGGCGCGATGACGGCAATGCAGTCGCGATCAATCGTAGCTCGGCGCTGTGTAGAGTTGGGTGTCAGGAATCGCGTTGCATCTTGTTGACACGGCGGAGGCACGGTCCACTTGACCATAGCAGGCAGTCACTGGTGTCAAATAGATCAGGAAAGAACACATAGCTGTGGTATAAGGAAACATCGATAACGATCAGACATTACAAAAGAGCAGTCACGACAGCAAATGATGGAATGTGAAGTGTAAATGGATATCATTCTTGATTTAGACCGTAAAGCTCACTTTTCAAAGCTTGTGCTCATCAAAGGCTACAAACATACGCCGTCTAATAGTGTTTGAGCATCGTCTCCATGATGCTTGCTAGCGAACGCTGTGAAATGAAAACATAATTATGCCTACACAAAACGAAAAGGCATCCCAAACGCCGGGCATCGCTAAATGGAAATGAAGAATACTCTAGGCCGCGCTGGCGCTGAGCATAGGTTGTGCGACCTTGGTAACTTGGTTACCCGCCCGGATTATTGGGTTGCCTTGTTCGTCCTTGACGATGTTGACCTCCTTGTTCTCCTTCTGGGCACGCTTCCAGATCTCAACCTCGCATCCACCGCGGATGACACCCACCCTCATTGTAGAGAGCAGGTTGTGGGCGGCGTTGGAGTGGAAGTAGACACCACCGTTGAACATGGCGGTAGCGTCCTTGCCGATGCCGCTCTTGATGAGGGTCTTGCCACCGGGGTGCTCGTTGATGAAGTCGGTGACGTCGTGGACAACACCGGCGACAGCGATCAGACCGCGACCGTTCTTAGCCTGCTCAACGTAGTCGTCCCACTCGATGACGGGAAGCTGCTCAAGAGGAACACCCCAGTCGAGCTTGGCGCGCTTCTGGTCAATCTTCTTCTGTAGCTGCTGGACGCGACCCTTCTCGATCTCGTTGGCACGGAACTGCTTGAGGTTGGAGGCGAGGCCGAGCTTGCTCCACAGCCAGATGGACCACTTGGTGGGGTCGTACTGGTGCCACTCGATAGCGTTACGGTAGTCGGAGGGGAACTCGTGGTGGAAGTTGTGGTAGCCCTCACCGAGAGTGACAAGGGCGGTGATGACGTGGTCCCTGGGGCTGTTGCGGTCGTCGAAGGGCTGGTCGCCGAGCCAGTGGGCAAGGGAGTTGACGCAGAAGGTAGCCTGCTGGACGAAGAAAATGCGGAGGATACCGGCGTAGATGAAGCCACCCTTCCAGTCGTTCCAGAGGAGACCAGCGACAGCCGAAGGGAAGATCAAACCCATGAAGATGACGACCTTGATGTAGTGCTTGTGCTGCCAAACGACGACGGGGTCCTCGTTCAAGTCGGTGATGTCGGTGCGGCCGATGCGCTTGGGGTTCTGCTTCATGACCATCCAGCCAAGATGGCTGTAGAGAAGACCCTTGCGGACGCTGTAGGGGTCCTTGTTGGTGTCGGTGTAGCGGTGATGGGCACGGTGGTCGCGGCTCCACCAGCGGATGGAGCCCTCAACAGCACCGCCGCCAACGAGGGCGAGGAAGACGCTCAGTGGGAGGGAGGCGTTGTAGGACTTGTGTGCCCAGAGACGATGGTAGCCGGCGGTGATGCCGAGACCAGTCCAGAAGTAGTACACGACGGCCCAGAGGGCGGTCTGCCATTTGAGAGGGGTCCAGAAAGCCGCGACGCAACCGGCGAGGGGGATGCCGATGATGAAGGTGACCTGATCCCGTGTTAGCCAATGGCTCTGATTTGGGGGGCAAGAGCAAACTTACGTTGAGCCAGTTGACGTGCTTGTACCAGTTGGCCTTGGTGATGGGTGTTTCGGTGATGTGTGGCTTCTTAGGGTCGTACTTGGGATTGCGGTTCGGCTCCGAGGTGCTCGCCATGGGAGACGGCTGCTTGACGTATTCGGGGTCGACGGCCATCATGCCGGCGGTAGGCTGGTGGGAAGGCATGGTGAGGAGGTGGGTAGGGTGGTTGTAGGTAAAGCGAGGGCGGTCGAAGAAATTCGACGGGAAGCAACTAGCGGCTCAAAAAAGTTGAGCTCCGGTCAGCCTCCGGCGTGAGTACAAAGCTCCAGCAACGATGGAAAGCTTCACCACGATCAAGTGAATGACGGGGTAGAAGATGTGAGGGAAGGAGCAGTGGAGGGAGGATGAGGGGAGGCAGAGACAGCGGGCGGCCGAGCGTGTTAATAAGGCGGCGGGACAGTCTTGAATCCCAACACTCTGCGGGCGTGTAAGCGAAAGACTGGGACCTTGCATTGTCGCTCGAGATCCAGCAATCGCCGCAACTTTGGTCATAGCCAGCCTAGCGCGCCGCACTAACCGCTGTCTCAGGGTCCCGCACAGGACGAGGGACGGCGCTGGCTGCAACAGCGCGAGAAAATTTCGGGCCTAACTGGCACGTCGTGCTGATCTCGGCATCGAGACAGTCGCTGGGTGGCGGTGCGCGCGCAGACGTGCAGAATATCCAGCAATCCCAGGCCGCCACCTTCCCCAGATTCTGATTAATCCCACACGCGGCGGCCCTATTTCCTACACATGGCCCGGCTGCTGCTTCTAGCCGCGACGTCGCGAAGACGATCGCAAAGAGCGGTCTGGTGCAGACGACCGGCAGCGCGAGCCGGCGAGAAGGATGCCTCACTGCCCAGGCGGGCATAGAACCTCACGCCGTGGTGAGGCCACACGTCTCGTCATCGCTAGCTCGCTAGCTGTCCTCTCCGCTTGATGCCCCGCTGGGCCACGCCTGCAGTCGACGAAGCGTGAGCCGGATGCAGACGCGACACCACGTTCGTTGGGAAACTGTTGATATCGCTCTGCATCCGCCCTACCCAAGTCTTCTGCAGCCTTACGTAGGCTGCGACGACATGTTTCACGCAGTGGCAAAGTGCTCGGCTTGGATGCCCAGTGGGTCTCAGACGTCCATGACTTTTTCGATGGCGCTTGTGCTTGGAGAAAATCGTCAGTGCTTCACAACGTTGTGGAAACCGTGAAGGGTCTTCTTCCGCTGGCGCAAATTCCCCGGCACGCTCCAAGCTCGGGTGCTGGGTGCTGGTGCGCCATCGCAAGCTCTGCTCGATTGGGAAACGGCCCTCCTCAACACCTGCTCTGCCTGTCTCCAGCCCATACAGACACACGTCCATATCAGTCAAGACGCGCGCCCACCATCGCGACGTCGATAGCATGCAACAGCCTACGAATCAACGTGCGTTTGCTCACCTCGGCTCCCGGAATCTGTTGCGTCACACCCGCTGCCCTCTCCGTGTCGTCTCATTCTCATGCCACAAGGTCAACGGTCGTCCCAACGTCCTAACGGGTAGGGCTGAAGGCAAACTGCTGGCGTGCGCTCAAGCTATGACGAGCCATTCTTGCAAAAGCTGGTTGCGGCACCCTGGCTGCGTAGCCCTCGTTGACCCTTGCCAAGGCGCAGTCGGTGGCAGAACTTGCGCTGCGTTTCGTTGATGGGATGACTGCTCCTTCATTGATGTCTACATCCTACCACGCCAGCACAGTACATGTTTTGCTATGTAGCCGTGTGTGCCCATGTTCTATCATCAGCAACGGAAACACGATCAGCCAAAGACCAACTACTGAAACTTACAAAAGCTAGAGAGTACCGAGAGCGTACTCACCTTCTCTACACAGGTAGGTACATAGACCTACACGCGACATTGTACATAGTTGCTGGAGATGTGGGAAGGCTGTGAGGGAATCAAGGTAGTTCTGCGCAGTCTCTCTTGGTCTCAGCGAGGCTCCGATCACCGGCTGCTGCCAACCAGAACACCAAGTCGCCCAGCATGGACGCGCTCAGCACCGCTGCATCGGTAACCGGCGAACAGGATCTTCTGACAGCAATCGGACTCAGATCTAGATGCACATTCCTCCAGTACAGTGTGGGAGGCCTCTCCTGCAATATCTCCCATCCTCTATCGTCGGAGTGGTCCGCCCGCCAAGTGGACACATTCGCCCAACAGCCAATCACCGTTTTCCTACCTATCAGTACAGGCGATCGTTTTAGCACATACGCGGGTGTCGCCCCTCTGCCACTGCGAAATGCGCGCCGTAGCGACGAATCTGCCGTGGAGAAGGGTAATTATTCGCGGCGGCTCACGACTATCTTCGGCCAGCTCCAATCTTTGGCGGTCCGTGAGTGGCCTTGGATTCGGGGCTAGGACGTTGTGGAGGAACAATTGTGTATCGTTAAGGTTGGTGCAGGAGATAATACTCCTTCTCCACATGTTCTATATAGATGAGCAAGTAGCTCGTTGGGTTCACGCCGTCACTCTACTGCACAGCGACTAACGTTCCTACTCGAACTAAGGTTCGCCATCTTCACGTCACTTCCCCGCATATCGAACTCCAAGACTACCATCCGAGCATTTCGAGAGCCTGTCATCGGTAGCGCGCTACACTGCACGCGACAGCCCTTAGTCGACCAAGAGGCACGTCTGATCCTGCGACTGGCCGTACAACTGGGTATCTTCAGCCACCTCGCCAATCTTATCAGGATCTTCCTTATCGGAGGTTGAACGGCCGAATACAAAGATCCGGCTCAATCTCGACATCTCTGCTTCTGTTCGGACACGCATCTGGATTGCAGAGTCTCTAAGCAGCCATGGCAGACAGGATCGGTCCCGACCATACGCCAAAGCGAAGCTTTGGAGAGCAAGCAAGACGCGCCATGAAGGCCTTTACAACCAAGTATGATCTTTTGTCACAATCAAAATCTCATCTAACATACTCAACAGAGATGGTCTGGTTGGTACTTATGACTACGCCTTTCTGTTCCGACCAAACCTGCCATTCATGAAGAAGGAGCGAAGAGCTGCACCCTTCTTCGGTCTCCATGACCGTATGCCAGTGCTACTAGCTCTTCTCCTCGGATTTCAACACGCACTCGCCATGTTAGCAGAGCTGGTGGATTCATTTAAAACTCTGGCAGAACTTCACGATAGTCTATGGCCTTTGTGGCCCTCCCCGACCGCCGCATCGGCGGCGCATTCTCCTTGTCGTCGTCGTCATCCTCCTCCTCCTCGTTGTCATCGTCGTCGTCGTCATCAACCTTGCTCTTCTTCTTGTTCTTCTCCGTCTTCTTCTTGGTCTTCTTGGCCTTCTTGGCCTTGCCTTTGGCAGGCGCGGGTTTCGCTTTTCGCTTGCGCGGAACGACACGCGCGGGTTCGCCCGTAGGCTCTATGATGGCTACATCTCGTCAGCAAATGTCTACATTGTTTACAGTGACCTCTATGACAAAGACAATGCAAATGCACATCAGATAGAAGATAGTTGGCCCTTAGATAAAGAGCTTGGATATGTTGGTCCAGATGAAGGAGGTAGGTAGTGCGGCATCCATTGTGGGTGAGTTAAAGTAGATTGCTGCGCTTGCGATGCTGCATCCTATAAACAACCCGATTATGAAGGCGGTAGATTCCATGCTGGGTGGGTGCATCGGATTGTTTGCAAATGATGGCTTTGACAGGTACACGAAATCCTCGACCGATGATTTGGAGGGCGTTCGGGGAAGAGCTTTCCGTGTGTTGATGTCTCCAGGGAAGAGCATTCCGCGTGTTGATGTCTCCGGGCATGAGCTTTCCATGTGTTCACGTTTGGGTAGGACTGGAAAGGCTCGGGTCACTTCGCATGGTGTACTTACAATTTTCCTGCACCGCCGAAGCGACCGCAGCTTCTTCTTGTTCTTCTTGTTCTTGTTCTTCTTCTTCCTCCGCAATTGGCTCGGGGACTAACGTAACGTTAACAAACTAAACTCCGACAGCACGCAAGACTCTATGGGGGTACTCACAGTAATCGTTCGCTTGTACTGTAAGTAGCATGCCTAGTTAGCAACATTGTCATACTGAAGGAGGTGTGTGCAGTCAGGGACTAATGAGCATGATGCGTATAGATAGAGACGGAAGGAGACACTAAGAAGATAACATACGCCAGAAAGGGTGGTCGCCGTCAGGCGTCATGCCCGAGGACTCAGCCCAGTCGGTCGTACTGACCGCAGGGAAGGTGGTAGACGACAAGTAACTACACGTACAACACATTGTTAGTCTCCACAACCATCGTATATATCAATCGCAGCAATTGCACTCACCTCATGTTGTCTTGGGTTACATGAGGTGATTGAATCTCGCGCTGAGGTTTACAACCTGCGCCCGAAGGCGGCCGCGCTAACACTGAGGGAAGGCACGACTGCCACCCATGAAGCAAGTACACCCGCTACCCATGAAGCAGGTACACCCACTACCCATGAAGCAAGTATGTCTGGTACCCATGAAGGCTGTACGCCTAGTGTCCACAAAGTCAGTGCGCGCATTATACACGAAGCAAGTACGCCCAGTACACTGAAAGTCAGTACACCCAGTACAACGGTATCTCTGAAGTAAGTACGTTCGGTACCCTTGAATTCAGTATATCCCGTACCCACGAAGCAAGCATGTTGCATTCATCAAACAAACACTTACACAAAGTCTCCGAGAGACACGAAACGAACCATTATCCATCTCTTACTGCTAATAGTGACTGAATGTCTTGTCCCGTGCTGGTGTGGCAGTGCGTTTCTACAATGGAGTTTATCTGTTTGTCAGTAACTGAAGATACCTCGTGTGTTGCGGGCCCCAATAACAGGAAAGAAGGTACTAAAATCAATTTTTCAATTCGCAAATATGAGCTACAGGATAAGCATGACTTGTTACTGGAATCATGTATAGAGATCGCTATCATATCCAGTGCCCAATAGACCCATGACATCTGAACGCATGCCTGGGTCTAACATGGAAATGACCGCATGTGCATCCCCAAGATATGCTCAGCCCAACGCGAAATGAAACCAGTTGTGAACAGGAACTAATCGAGAACCGATCACCGCTCAGGGTGACCCACCGAAATCTGCATTCATGTTAGCATATACTTCGAGTACTAGCATGAATACAGGTAGCATTGACTTACAAATCGGACTACTCGATTCTGGTGATCATGGCGCAGAGAAGGCTTAGAACTCATTTTCGCCATCGTCGGCACTCTCCAAATCGTCCGACTCGTCCGACTCAGGCTCATCCGAGGTGACCTGTATGTCCGAAGGATCCTCTTCGCGCGGTCCCGACAGATCCAACTCGGCCAGTTTGTTGCTGAAATTCTGGTTTGCTGTACCGAAGATAGAATAGAACTGGTTGATCAGGGCGGGATGCACGATTTTCCAATGTGCCACGTCTTCAGCTGACAAGCCATGGGCATCCTTCGCTGCCCCTGTGATTTCCTTGGTGGTAAATTTACCAGGCTCCCGGATACCCCCAGTGCCCGTCCAAGTACAGCAAGGGCGACCTAACATCTCACAGACTTGACACACGTTCGAATTCCCAACCCTCTTGCAGCCTCTCTTGAAGACGCCGTTGGCGAAGGCTACGTCTGGGAGCATAGTGCACACGTCGCATTGTTTTCGATGACTACCAAAGGAGCGAGTTGAGAACTTTCCAAACTCACCACCAACGTTTTGCAGCTGCAAGTGACTGGATTTGAGTTCTCTCAAGATGTCGCTGGAAGGTCTGAGCGTTGATGGCTGTATAATAAATGGCTCGTTTGAACGCTTGATCGTGATCATCTGGTTATGGAGGTCGAAGTCAGCGAGGAGGACGTATGCACGGCCAGACAAGCGAGGTATCCATGGTAAGGAGTGGTTTGGCGCTTTGCCGAAAAGCCACTGCAGGAAGGAAATGGCGGTAGCATAGCTCCTCAATGCTCCAGGAACACTGGTGTCCACAAATCTAAACATCTGGCTAGTCTGAATGTATCGATAGCGCCATTGTCCAGAATTTGGAGGATGTTCCCACTCAATTCGAATTGCAAATGAGCTTGCCTGTGTCCAGTTCGAGAATGGGCCAATTCCAGAAAGACGCGACCATGCGTGTGGGTGACGGCTTCCATCCTTGTAAACCTCAAAAACAAGATGATATGGGACGTTGGCCAGCGGTGCCTTGGTGCCATCCTTGCTGTCGCTCCAGAAGCTGAGACGGATACCCTGCTTGCCGTGCATCTTCTCCCAAACAGCCAGTTGACGCTTCGTTTGTCCAGGTTGTATAACACTCGCATGGCTCAGTTTCCTAGGGTTGGCGCTGCGAAAGATTGCCACAGGAGTTGAGCGTCCAGATGCCTTGTCCATGGTTCTCGTATCGGTGCGAAGGAAAAGGATCCGGTTAGTATATGCCGTCCATTCTTGTAAAGGTGAGCTGAAGTTGGCACCTTGATACGCTCCGAACCCTTCCCGAGAAACAGCCCCATGCCACCCGGTGCGTTCAAAGACGTTGCGTGCGATATCAGTGAAGTACTTGGCATAGCCAATGGCCGAGAGTATTCCCGAACCACCCGAGCTGGCAACACGGTCCGAGAACATGAATTTGCGATAGGTTTGACAAAGACAAACAAATATCTGCTCAACGACATGGGCGAGATCTGGAATATCGTCTTCAGAAAGAACGCACATTGCGAACATGTCCAAAGATGCGGAGTTTCGGGTCAGGTCACCATACCTGGACGTCGCTGACTTGTGGCTCTGCGAACGGTGGTAGAAATTGACAGTCTTGCCGACGTATACATAGTACGTGTTTGGTTTCCAGTAGGGGACCACAGAATCTGAAAGATGAACTCGCATGTAGACACCGCCTGTCTCTTGAGTGTAATCGTCGATGACATGTGTGGCAGCACCTACCAGATCCTGCCAACGAAAGCCTGGGTTGTTGAGAGTGTCATAGAGGCCTGCTTCCCTGATGCCCTTGATGATGGTCTTGGTGATAGAATCGATGCTTCTCTTTTTGACGACGTCTTCATACTTCGAGCCCATGAAGTCTGCGGGAGAATCGTGAAACGCGGTCAAGAGCGCATGGATGGTACGCCCCAATGTACTCTGGTCATCAGGAGTATCTCGCATCCACTGAATGGCGTTGAAGTCGAAAGCATCAATACTGATATAGATTGGCCAGTCTTTGATATCGGACACCCAGCGTTTGCCTTTCCATACATCATTGGCTGATACCCATATGTTGTTTACCCACACCCGTTCCTGGGTTTGGGGATTCAATACATAACTTCCCGTGACGCCCTCAATGAAGATCTTGGCTTTCTTCTCGTTATTGAACACTTTCTCTTCTATGAGATGACCTTGCATGCCCTGGAGGAACACGGTGCGCGTCGACTGGACGTTGAAGCTCCGATTGATAGTGCAACCAAACTGAGTCTTGATTCTGGTGTGCGGACTAGTCGCGGGTATACCGGTGCGATTGTCGATCCATGAAGCAAGCTCGGAGGAGGAGAAACCGGCCGTAATGTGAGGACTATCTCCGGGGGGTAGGAACGGCATGATGAGCGTTATTCAGTAATGTCTGAACAAGGAGATCAGTCAGTAATGGGATTGGACCCTAAGTATCATGTTACGCTCAGCTTACGTTGGTGGGGGCCGCCCTGAGAGCTGGCGGTGTTTATCGGTGGGGCTACGGTAAGGTGAAGTAGGTCGGTTGGGGTAGCGAATTGGACGATGTCTGAGCGTTCCGAGCACACTGAAGAAGCCTCCAAATAGTTAGTAGTGAAGAGTGCGAGGAGATGTAGAGCTTACTGTAGCAAGTGTGTAGCAAGAGTGAGTAGAAAGTTGCGGGCGAAGGGCAAGGTTTTATACGTAGCCTCAGCAAACGGGTTGTGGAGCGGCCGGAAGCGAGAGAGTGACTCACCACTACTGCAGGCACCGGGCTGAAGGTCCACGTGAGAGAAATGGCGCGTGAATCCAGGGACCAACGCGAGCTCTGACGTAATACCTAGGTAGCTTGCGAATACGCCGTCACAAACAATACGCGCCTGGCTCAGGGTCTATATCACCTGGGCAGCATGTCAAGATATTTATAAGCAGGCTAAAATAAGAGATCATGGAGTAAAGTCGTGCTTAGCATGACCCTTGTGACACTGTAAAGTATGAATTACCCTGTCCTATGCACCATATCAGACCCGCTATCTAGACGCTCAAGCCAGCGTAATCAGATACGTGAGATTTGAAAACGTAATACATGAATTGAATATCGTCTTCCTGTTTGTCGGCGGTCTATACAATCGGTTGGCCGCCTGGTTTCGAGTAATTGTGGGTGTGCAACAAACAGTGTCTTTACACATCAAGGCGGTCAGCCGCCGGACTCCAAGTGATTGCAGGTGTCCACGGGTGGCATTGTCGCAAACGAAGAGATCTGGTAGGCAGCAGCACAAGCGAAAGACGACATGATGCAGCGCTAGCTCTGACTCACCTAGATATCAAGGTACAGGGCATATAAGAAGGCCGCTTCTCTCTTCCGATAAATTGAACCGTCACTGGCGATTACTTGTGGAAGCACTGTGTGGATCAACAATACCTACTTCGGTAAGTATCGATAGACCTTCACTTTCACAGCCTCGTTCTGATACCTGCGGAATCAGAACAGCTTACTTCGCATCATTCCAAGCTCAAATTGCCAAAGCCCTACACGATACCTAGGTAGGTTGGCAATTCACCGCTCAACGAAGACTGATACACTGCTGACACGCGATCCGACTGAACAGCGAACCTTCAAGACAACCCCAAAAACTACGCCGTAGGTGCGTTCGAGCGCACTTACGTCTGTTTGTTTACCCCCAAGCGGTCGATATCAAATTCAACATGAATACCTACGATGAGGATGCTATCTACAACCCTACCATCAACCGTCAGCTCAAAGGTGTCTCAGTGAGCGGAAGCCAGCTCGCCGCAACGCACGCACGCCATATCTGTGATCATGGTCCAGTACCCAGGAACTATTACGTAGAACGCAAAGCTCTCAAGGACCGTATCGATGTGTTCTATGCGGATCATTCCATCGACGACACCATTGTTGCAATGCCTTGGGGACACAAGACGAACCCGACGGGTAGCTACAACCATCCACTCTCTCCCGCCGGTCTGAAAGAGAATCCGAACCCCAACATCTTCAAGGAGTTTACCGACACCCGTCCGAGTGTCCCTGGATTCTTTCAGCCACCCTGCTCGTACGTGCCTGGCGATTTCGAGTGGAAGCACCACGAGAATTGGCACGCGGCATTGGCGGATGCCGCAACGGCCAAAGGAGTGTCCGTTTCCGAGACTACTGTTGCGGATTTGCATGATCAAATATTGAAGAACGCCAAGTACAATCTCCAGGAATCCCATACTCTCTATCACCCAGCCGATCGAGATACCGCTATCTTCAAGGACGAGCCTGCCGCTTCTTTGGTCGCCAGCCAGTTGGGAAGCGAATTCAGCCTGATCATCGTGTGCCCATACGTTCGAGCGGACGGTGTTGACTGGAATCGATTCTGGGACACACGAAATCGGCCTCCCATCATCACGAGATGGTCAACAGGAGAGCAGGGAGTGCATGAGCCTTTGATCTTGGGATGTCTCCCCAAGGAACACATTGCAGGCACGAGGGAATGGTACCACAAGGATGCTTATTGGTTCGCTCTAGAACCCAAGCCCAACACAGCATTCTCTAATGCATGGGACTCGTAAGTGATCCAACTTCAGTACCAACACGTTACTAACTCTATCAGTTATCGTCAAGAGGAGAGTCTTACAAAACTCCAAATGAGTTTTGGGTATCCCGAATCCAGCAACGTGAACATGTTTGTATGGTGCCTTGTTTCCCTCCACCGTAGGATAGCCCTCGGTCTCAACATACCCGACTCGCACCTCGGCTCGTGGATCTGGCAATATGGGAAGCATATCCACGCATGCGGCATGCCACACACGCCAGCTCCCTTCAATGGCGACCCAAATCTGAACTACGGCGGTCGCGCGATCACGTATCGTGAGCTTACTGCATGGATCATGAACCCGAAGTTCAGTACTGTCAGCAAGGAGTATGCCCAGCGTTGGGACCTAGCCATTGAGGCTTTGATTGATCACAACCGTCACAGGAGCGACTTCCATTGGGCTGCGTTCCGTGAGAAGTTACTAGCTGCCAAGACACCTTTTTGGTGAGAGTTTGGTGATGCGGTGAACAGATGGATTATGACGTCAATCCAGAGATCATCAGTCGGTTTATCCAGATGACACAATTTGGAAGAGTGTGCGGCCACAAAGACGAGGGTTTCTATCCAGATATCCATGCGACAATGCTTGGCTGGCTCCTGTCATTTTACATATGGATTTGTTCTGCTTTTTTTGTTTTTGTGTTTTGATCTGACCTGCGCTATTGATTTCTTATTCAATAGGTAATCATACGACGGCGTTGGAGGGTATAGGAGCAATGTATTTGCTCATAGATAGGAATTGGGAAGCAAGAGAGGAAGGCTGCCCCCATCTATACATGGAGCTCGGCGGCAGACATGGACTCTGTATCTAGCGTGCTTATGAATTGAAACCTGGTTTTGCATCTTTACTCCTCATGAAGGCTTTCGTGTCATTGCTCTGACGCGCTGTGCGAACCGAAAGGCCGGCTACGCTTGCTGCTTCTGGCTCATTATCATGGGCATCTTCGCCAAGTTTGCGGCGGCCCTTGTTGCCATTCCCTCAGCAGTTCTCGGTGGAATGACAACCTTCCTCTTCAGCGCCGTCGCTGTTAGCGGTATCAGAATCATCAGCACGATGTCTTTCACTCGCCGCAACCGTTTTATCCTCACTGCAGGATTCACCCTGGGCTTTGGCGCTACCATGGTCCCAGACTGGTTTGATCACGTCTTCACTTACGATGGACCGAACCACGCACTTCAGGGCTTCTACAACGCTATCATCCTAATCCTCGAGACAGGTTTCGCTGTTGTTGCTTTCATCAACGTCGTACTTAACCTTGTCCTACCAGAGGAGATTGAGGACGAAGAGACACCGGAGTTGACTGCGAATGAAGTCGACGAGCCAGCGGACAAGGAAGAGTGGGCCAGGGTCAAGAAGGGAGCCACTGATGTTGAGGGACGACCAAGTTCGGATATTGAGCCTAGCAAGGCTGCTTGAGCGCAGTTTGATGTATGGTTTTGAGTTTTACGAAAAGCGAATTTCACACTGGATGAATGTCTCGGCGTTATAGTCTTCTTATATTTTACATTACGAAGTCATTTCTTCCTTCTCACCAATTGCCACCCTCGTGCTGCAGCCCAAGATGGTAGTAGTCATCTTACGACACCGATATGCACCACAAAACCACTGCCCTCTCTCAATCCCTCACCCAGCATCCTATCAGGCACCTGCCAGACGTGAAAATACCGATGGAAACTTTTCAACCAAGTTTCAAAGACCTCGGGACTGCGCAGCTGCTGCGCAATAAGACAAAGTGTTGGTTCATCCTTGTCATTCTTCAACCTACATATTGCAGCACATGTCGTATTGAGCGGCTCGATCAGAGCTTCATTGTAGACACAATCGCACGATAAGATCATGTCCACGGGGTTGAGACGAGAAGTTGCATCCGTCTCCCAATCTAGTTGCAGTGTTGTGATGCGATCGCCACCACTTCCTTCTTCTCCCTTCATCTGACCCTGCTGTTTCTTACTTCCTCTCCCACTCTTTCTTTTTGCCGGTATGACGGTATCGAGGTTCTCGGCGATATTCTGCCGTAGCAGTTTAAGCACATAGTCCTGGTCGGTGGCTGTGTAGCTTGCGACTAGGGGACCTAAGCAGAGTGCGACGATACCGGATACGCCTGCGCCGAGCTCGAGGATGCTGGAGCTGGGTGTGAGAAGAGAGGATGTGAAGAGGAAATTTGTGGGGGAGGCGATCCATGTTGCGAACAACGGGGTGACTTTCCACACTACTGTTTAGGCGTTAGTTGGCGGGAGCGGAGCGGAGTATGGCATGTAGAGCGTGATAGTGCTCATTGCAATGAATTTGGTCGGCTATCTACTAGTCCTGTATGGCCAACCCAGGCCACTATAGCTGAGATGCTATTGTAGAAACCCGCATGAGAGGTCAAATTCAACTGAAATGGGGAACGTAGGGGGCAACGCATCACCCCGTAAAATATCATGGCAAATTCAGTACTACTTACCGGCACCGGTCGTCCCTTCTTTACGGCTGGAAGTCAGCAGACCCCTTGAGTGGTGAATGACCAGATCATGGCCCGCCACGCTGAGGTCTAGAGTTGCCGCCGGCTCATCGATGAAACCGAGAGACTGAGAAGGAATATCTTGCGAAAAGACAACGAAGGCTTCTGCGTGATTTGATGAGTAACCTATCGATGATGACTTGTTTGCAGTCTTGCGACATGTTCCACATTGGGCGTACGTGAGAGCGAATCGCAACGACACAGCAATATGTTGAGCCGAGGACCAGCATAAGGGTGTGATTCGATGAGTACATTTGTGTACTCCAGGGCGTTTTACACACCTTCTTCAGGG